TTTTCAGGAGCGTAACTTTGAAGAAGCACTAACAAATGTCAACAAACTGATAGCACAAGTGAATACAGTCCAGTCCAGAAACTCTCCTGTCTTAATTGTACAAAAATACATCCGTGGATACTTAGGAAGACAGAGAATGAARTATCTACAGGACATGAGGATATGGTATGTGAGGGATATAACATTGTTATTGTATACTTCCTTTTAGCCTGATTTTCAGACGGGGCCTGGGTCCTACGCTTCTCTCCGCCCCCAAGAAGCTTAGGACCCAGGCCCCGTCTGAAAATCAGGCTAACTTCCTTTAAAAAACAGTCAAATTACAGTCAAAGCTCTATTAGGTTGTCACCTTGGGAAAAGAGTAGGAGAACTGCTTAATAGCTTAACTGCTTGACAGTTTAATAGAAGTCATGTTTACAGTAAATGTATGTGGGATTCGACGTTTGGAGAATTAGTGACGTTAATGGAGGATGGTCTTGTAAAGGGTMGCTTAATAGAGGTTTGACTGCTTTTCTAGAATTCAAAAATTAGGAAGATTTTGTCTGGAGTTGCGAGGGGCTATGAGAATATGCAGATATTTTTTTGAAAGTGTAGTTTTGCGACTTTTCCGAATTTGCGAAACACTTTTAGTGCTATTTTTAAGATCTTACTAGTAGCATAAGTTGCGGATTGGCGATCCATTAGAATTTTAAAGGGGGAGGGGACATTTTGAAAAAAAAGTCCAATGGATCACCCCTAATGAAGTTTTTTACCAATCCGCGTCTTATGCAAATATCTTAAAAATAGCGCTAAAAAACGTTTTGCAAACTCGAATAGCCGCGCAAAACTACACTTTCAAAAAAAAAATATCTGCATATTCTTATAGATGTGCTTTATTCAATCATTCACTCATTATTTCGTTCCTTTTATTTATTCATAATTCATTTTTTTATTTTTGCCATTTTATACAGGGCTGCAGTATCCATCCAAAGATTCTATAGACACTACAAGGGGCACACTGGTTCCCTCCCGCCACCTGCTTCACCGGCCCCCAGTAGATCATCGTCTGCCATGACTAGCTTGGACTACGATACGTACGTCAAGGGTCTCAAACCTGCCTACACCATAACACCTGGAACATCAGAAGAAAAGTTAAAACCGCGAACATCCAGTAAAACAGTGTCGATTGTAGTTGAACCAATCCATAGAATCGAAGAGGAAAAAGACTCATCGGAAATCACCATTYCCAATGCTCCTTTAGAGGAGAAGGTGAAAGAAAGCGACGATTTTCCTGTTAAGATAACGACTAAAGTTAGTATCAACCTAAGACGACTTGAAACAAGTACATCAGACATTATTAAGGCGAAAGAGGAAGCGGTCACTATTGTGAGAAGAGTTGGACTGGACACAAGAAACAAAAGAAGCCGGATAGACACAAGAGAGTCGTTCTCTACCAACAAAGAGAAAGTGAAAACACAATCTTTAAAATCGAAAGAGCTTCTTCAAGAAGAAAATAAGATTGTTCAGAGGGAAAAGCGCGGGAAAAAAAGCGATCGTGTAGGGCGTCACCATACTGTCCACATGTTCTTTGGACCCATTCTCAAAACCCACCCAAGAACTGAGAAAGAATACACGGAAACGGAACGAGACCCAAAGCAAATCAAGTTTCGTTTATCAGGTCTTGATCCGCCAATAAGCACTACTGATCCATTATTAAAAATACTGTCAGATAAAAGGGAGGCGGGTAAAATGGTCCGTGAAGCAGCGCGCCACCACGAGTTGAAAGTCCTCAACAAACCACGCAATAAAGTAGCCCGCAGGCCTATGGTTACTACCGACCAGCGGCTGTTTATTCGGACTCATGGAACCATGGGAATGGCTTGCCTTCGTGCGGTACAACAGGCTTATCGCGACAGAGCAGTGAGCGAAGTGAAGAGCACCCGTAACGATAAAGTTGCGCAAATGCGCGAAGAACGCGAAACCGCAAAAGATCGCGTACGTGCGTTTAAACAAGAGTACCAACAAGCAACATTGCGTAGACGTCTTAGAGACGGCGTTAAGACAGCGGAAGCGTTAAAGGAACGCGCAACGCTACGTTTGGAACAAAACGAGCGTTTAAACACTGCACGCGCTGTAACTGCCGAGCAGCGGAGATCGCGACAAGCAGACTTTGCTTTTGTCAACGATTTTGCTTGTCAGCAGACATCCGTATCGAATGCTTTACTTAAACATGATCGTACCACGCATAAAGAGGAAACTTTACAAGATGCGAGCGAAATTGTAAGGAAAGGGAAAGARAATAACCTGGAACAGCAGAGTTTAGTCAAAAGGTTTATGGAACATAGGCAGTTACTACGTCAGGCTGAAACAGCAATGGCTAGAGCTGAACTAGACTCACAGTTGCTTCAAGATTCAACTCAACGCACCGAGGAAACAAAACAACGAATGCATCAAATTAAATCGAGACAACAGCAGCAGATGGAGTACTTTGCTGTACCCCCTACCCTTGCCCCGCCCCAATTACCCCCATTGGGTGTGGTATCTCCTGACCAGATGGAGGTCTGGGAGAGATTACCTAAAGTGGACTGGAGACCAAGACTTCATGATAGGACCCAGTCTGAACCAAKCAAAACAMACCCTAGACAAAGGCTTTTTACCTACGAACCTTACTATGCATTAGCATAATGGCTTCTCAATCCACGTTTTATCAACTTTTGTAAACAATTGATCTTAGTTGATAATTATTGATTTAAAAATAATAGTTTATAATATAAACAGAGAAATAAAATATCAAGTAATTTTCACAGCATATTGTCATCTGGGAATTGATTTATCGTGAGTTCATTCTAGACCCTTTTCAGTTTGAAGGCTCCTTGGATTGTCTTCAGGGAGGGGTGCAGGTCACCCAAGGAAGGAGTGCATGCAACCTAGTACCCAGGGCTTTCTCTACCTCGCTATTTACAAAATGGTGGACGCTCGGGAGAAGTGTCCGCCATTTTGTAAATAGCGAGGAAGAGAAAGCACTGGGTTCGAGGTTGGAGTGCATGCCATCAAAATAGAGACAATAATGGGTCACAAACATTCAAAAAAAAAACAAGGTGGTGTGCACTCACTAGTTTTTCCCTTGCTGTCCATATATTRTACAAAAAAGGATGCCTTCTTCAAGAAAAGATTTCTCATTAGTATCTATTGTTCATTCCTCCAACACGGTCTTTTATCTTTTGAAATCTGAAGAGAATGGTTGAAAACGATCAAATTGGAGCCTGAGAATCCTTGACAGGCTGTTGGGCTTCCTGTGTCTCCCTTTTCTAAACGAAGGTCACAGGAACCCCATCAATAATTGTCTTATGCCAGTACAAGTATCATAGATGGTGAAATGATTATTGTACACCACTTATAAAACTCATTAATATTCATAAGGCAAAACACAATAGAAATCATAGCCCATGAAGAGAGTTGTATATTACATACAGATTTCTTGTTCATTTGCATAAACTTTAACTCTGATTTTCTCGGTCAGATTGATTTTTTTTTCAAAAGTTTCTTTAAAACCTGAGCTAGTTTACCTCAACGTTTCATAAGTAATATACAATATGAGCGGGCGATCTGTATGAGGTTTAAAACAGCTCGCTTTCAGCTCGCTGTTTTAAATCCTCATACAGATCGCCCGCTCATATTGTATATATTACTTAAAGACAGAAAACTTATTTAACAAGACCAAGTACATTTTCTATCTTTTTACTGCGTATAATTCATAGCCTGCGTGCAGCCGAACCAAAACAACAACAAGTTTTGGTTCGGCTGCACGCAGGCTAATAATTCATCATTTCATTGTAATAAAGTTTTCCTTTCATGTTTATTGTCTATTCTTTATTAACAAGTGCTTTCAGTTGAAAACTATAAGCTTGGCAAAGGTATTTATTCCCCTTGAGTCAAATGAGTCCTTTCGCAGCAAACATTTAATCAAAGTCTTCATTCATATCCAAAGGAATTCTYTCATTATATGTCTTCTGATTTTTTGTAAACCTGAGGGATTTTCTCTTTTCCTTTGCATTTAAAACTGCATTCYTAAACACCYGTGCATASAGTTCCATCGCTGATGGGGTATCATCATTACCAGGTATAGGATAGGTGATAAGATTGGGATTACAGTCACTGTCCACAATAGCTATACTTGGTATATTACACATTGCTGTTTCTTTTACTGCGAGGGAATTCCTKCCTAGTGAGGGCAAGTTGAGAAAAACGACAACATCTGGAAGCCTTCTGGTCTGTAGTACCATATGTGARTTGGTGAAAGTCCCTCCTCTCCAACGTCTTGTAACAAAGTACTCATTTGTATCACGAGCTAATGTTTGCGTAAGGCGTTCAAATTGTGGGTGTGTGCAGATAAAAAGGACGATCCCACCTCGGTACACAATATGGCTGACCACATTAAGAGCAAGCTGTGGAAACAGATATTTATTGCATTAGTCACTTGAAATTCATGAAAAATATCATATATATATATTATACAGTCATTTGCAAAAATTCTGACATCTAATATACATCAGGTGTACCATGTGTCGCATTCACCAGATCTCATACACTTCTATGGGAATTTAAGAGTATTTGAGAGACTGTAACTAATTTACTATTGAACTGACTTACACCAAAGCATTTCTCAATAAAGTCTTTCTTTCTAGGTAAGCTTATCTCATTATTATCTATTAAGGGGATTTTGCCATGGCAATGGCAGCCATGTTGCAAGTGAAACAGGTTTAACTGCTTGTCTTTGTCAAGCATGCATGGGTGCACATTGTAACAAGAAGTAAACATGTGAAAGAAACTTGSATATATACAGCTGTACATATATCTCGTTTTAAATCAATAATGTAGCATTGATATACCTTTAAATGCTTCACAGTTTCATTCAAGTCAATGATATGCATGTGTTCTCTAGTGCCATATAARTAAGGCTTCATAAGCGGACTCCAACAGCCTTCATGATGACCRTAATGGACTCCAGCATCAAACARCTCTCTCATTGTAAACARTTTRCCAACTTGGAAGAAATCTGGATCAGTTAAAGCCGCATTTTCTTCAGTAAAATCTGGAAATAAACACACAATAACAGTTAGAATACCTTCTATATTGAAGCAACTTTTGATGAGTTTACAAAGCATTTATGGTCAAAACATGTTGTGCCTTGACAGTAACTGATTACGCATGATTATGGCTTTCAAGACCTCCTACTTCAATGCATAAACACAAGGTCTCTACAGCTCGTTTTTCTAACAAATAG